CTGGCTCTGGAGAACCAGGAGCTGCGCTGCCGCCTGCAGCTGGACGAAGGGGAGGACAAGGTGAGCCCCGCGGCCCCACCCCCCCGGCTGCCGCCGCCGCCGCCACGTGTGTGCCGGCTCTTCCCCGCCCTCCCGGGGCCCGGCCTCTCCCACGAGGGGCGCGGGGCTGGTTCAAAGCCTCTGACCTGGTGGCGGCCTTCTCCAGCCAGCTGTCCCGGGCACGGGTTGCTCTTCCCCATCCCTGCAAAGTAACACGGGAGACGTCTCCAGAACTTGCGCCCCGGGGAGAACACGTACCCGAGGGAGGGGAGGGGAGCAGAGCGGGGCGGTGCAGACGGGGGTTGTGTCCAAGTCTTGCTGAACGGTGACTTTGCACCTGTTCCCTAAGCCTGGCCCCTCGACCCCGGCCGTGCTCCTCTCCTCCCCAGCACTGGTGGGCCAGATCCAGGCAGCAGGAGGGCCCAGGGATGCCTGGCAGGGAGCTCTTCTCCCAGCAGTAACGGTTGCAGCCCTCCCCGCGTCTGACGGGGCTGGGTCTCTCTCCCTGCGCAGGTGGTGGTGGAAGAATGGCAGGTGGATGAAACCAGGCTGGTGACCGGGTCCGCTGAGTCCGCAGCACTCAGACTACGTGCTCCTCTGCAGCAGGCGCAGGCCCAGCAGTCACCATTCCTGACGACCTCCACGTGGGTTCTGATGGCATTGACTCTTCAGACTCTGAGGTGAGCAGCGGTGCCCCATCTCCAAGCCTGCGGTTGGGGAAATATTACAGCTCACTTCATCAGCACCAGGGATTACTTGAACAGGAGCACTTGATTTTACAGCTCCGTGTTCCTAGCGGCTGAGCCAGCTCTCCGCTAGTCGGCACGGCTGTCTTTATTTCCAAGCTGTAGACAAATGCGGTGCTAGCCCTTGTGAAGCTTGAGCAGTGGCTGGAATGCCAGCGGCCTCCAGTCGCTGCATAGAAGTGTTTGCTCCGTCTCGGAGAGGCTTGTAGGGACGCTGCCCGCTGCACCCTACTTAACAACTTGCTTGTCTTATGAAATGCATTAGGCCTGCTGTATTATCCACGTGCATTGCTACAGTTTTACGTGGCCAGTTCTGTAAAATCCTACCCAGCAGGATCAAAGCAGCTACCCAGTCTGTTGACTTCAGATAAATTCAAGGACTTCTGGAAGTTCAAAGCAAAAGAACAAATGGCTTCAGAATGGAGATTAACCTTCTTAGTCCCGGCAAATGCTCGTCAGTGTAGTTGCTGACTTGTTGCCTGAGGTTTTTTGCTTCTGCAGGTGGTCTAAACAGAAAGTAGGATTTTTTTTGGGGGGGGGGGTTGGTTAGCTTATTT